TTAGAAAGAGGATGCTATAATGCTTTACATTTTCCTGGTTCAGTGCCGAGGACAGGGAAAAGACGGCGAATTCTCCTGTGTTTGAGGTTGCTGACTAAATTATCTCCATCTCAAAAGGCTACCTAAAGCTACAGTGCTCCGACCATCCTGAGGCTGCCCCAATAATCTCCTCTCGAAGACTTCCGTTCTTTCCACCAGACTTCCATTACTCCACTGCGGATGTGCAAATACCGAAAGTCATAACAAATGTCACGGTGAGGAAGCTACTCAGAACATTTCCTACTTACCTTGTTGGCTTTTGGAAGAGGCAGATGAGAAGATAAAAAAAAAAGCTAAAAATATATAAATGTATGTATGTTTACATATTCTCAAAGTAGAACATGCAAATGACACTTTCAAAAAGGCTTTGGATGCCCTGGCCAGTTTGGCTCAGCGGTTAGAGCATTGGCCCATGGACTGAAGGATCTCGGGTTCGATTTCTGGTCAAGGGCACACACCTGGGTTGCAGGTTTGATTTCCGGCCCTGGTCGAGGTCATGCGGGAGGCAACCAATCAATGTATCTCTCTCACATCGATGTTTCTCTCTCTCCCTCCCTCTCACTCTAAAAATCAATGAAAAAATATCCTTGGATGAGGATTAACAAAAAACAAACAAAAAACCTCCCAAACAAATGACTCTTTTGAAATTTACTTTTGAGTATAAAGATTCGAACAGAAAGAGCGGAGTCCAGTTTGGGGATTCAACCCTTCTTCTGAGACCCCAGCACTCTAACTACATGCCACATTCTGCTTAGAATTGCTGACTCGTGTTTCTCAAGCCTCCTCTGTAAATTCTTGTGTGTTCCTGGCATTGCCCTGAGGGGCTAGCCCAGACTGGTCCACCATGGATAGGCCAGGAGGAACTTTCTGTGGTGAATTAAATAGCCTTCCCTATCATGCCAGTCAAACCTGAAGTCCAGCCAGGGGTCCAGCCTTCAGAAATCTGACATCTTGGGATATTAAGAAGGCTTGATCATCATCTGCAATGTTCTTCTAAAAATTGAGGACAGGATGGGTCTCCAACATTTTACAAATACATTTTCAATGCTTTCAGCAGAAGACTGGCTGGTTCTTTGAATCAGCATTGGCTCTACGTCCAGGTGTGGTATCTTCTGAAGGTAACCCAGCAAATCAGACTCAAATCCCGCCCACAATGTATTCCCAGAGTCGTACACAAAGGCAAAGGTTTGGTTAGAATTCTCTCAATGATTCTAGACCTTCCAATGCTCGTAAACTCCTCAGCGATGTGAACCAGATGGGAAAGAAAACAAAAGAATTCACAACTCATGGTAGACTGAATTGAATGTCTTTAATTTCACACAATGAATAACATATGAATAGGATTAACTTTTTTTTTTTTTTTTTCTTCTTTTTTAATAGTTAAGTGCTCTATACTGTGCTAACCTGATCTGGTAGCGAAAAAGACTGAGCTTTCTTTTAGAAAAAATGTTTAAAACCCAACATCTAAGACCATGGAGGAGCATGACAGTAAAGCATGCCAGCTGTATCTACGCCTCAAATAACAGCAAGTCCATGTGCATTTTAAATGTACAAAAATGCTTTATGAATAAAAACTGTTACAAAAAGAACGTTTCAAACAATGTACAATTTTTCTTGCCTCTATATTCAATAAAATACAAATACATTTTTTTGTTCTAAAATATGTTTACATACAATCAAAGTAGAACATGCAAATTACACTTTAAAAAAGGCTTTTAAAAACCACTTATGAATACAAACTAAAAATTAGCCAGCACGACTTGTAAGACAATCTTGTGCCCCATTTTTTTTCCTTTTGAAATAGATATATACATATTTAACACATCATGTGCATTTTTATTATTATTTAAGAAATAGATTTTTTTTTTTTTTTTTTTTAAAAAGGAAGAAAAAGATGCCAACCTAGGTTGGAACTGCCCTTTTGTGTTGACCAGTGGCAGCTCTTTTCCATTCCACCCCTTTTAGTGTCTGTTTTACCTGGGCGAGTGGGCAATCGATATCCAGGAAGTTTCTTCCTTGGTTGATATGTGCTTCTAAGACTGTTCCCCACGTGACTGAGACCAGCAAGGAAGGCTGACTCATCAGTGGGGCAAACTCTCCAAGAAACAAGAAGCAGGGGGAGCCTTGCATTGTAGAAAGAAACTTGAAAAAACACCAAGAAAATGCTACGCTATATTACAGTTCGAGTTTCTAGGCACTGTGATGACATTATCTGTAAGCTCTGGCATTTGGACCATGGTGATACTACAGGGTAGTGTTGAGAGTAATGTCTATATTTATCTACTTTTACAGAACGAGGACTGAAAATCCTGCAATGTAACACTTACATGGCTTTTGAGGCATTTCGGCTTCTGCCACCCCCTCTCCATGCTACAGTTGGCATTTAAAGGCTTTGGAAAGATATGTATAGACTTTACACAGTTCCCAGGTACATCTTCCTAGTGGTAGGGAAAAAAAAAATATTCTCCAAAAGCTCATTATCTGGATATTGTTGGGTAATAAGCTGTAAGAGTGGAATTTTCTACTTGAGTCCTAAAACCCAAATCCTTTATGATCTGCATGTAGTACATCACCTTATAGTAGAATTCTGCCGCCACTTATCATATTTACAGACCCAGCAATAGGTGGGACACAGATTCTGATTGCCATCGAAGATGCAGACGGCCTCCCACTCCAGACAGCAGCCAAGTTAACATGCGAATCCTCTGTCAGCCTTGGCACCTACTCTGGGCAGTCAGTGGCTGTTGAGTTCCGGTCCTGCCAAGTCACAAACCAGCCCCTGACATGCTCCCTTTCCTTGGACCTGTCTTCCATGGGTGGTAACCAGAGCCACACCATTAGAGGAAGTGAAACTTCTGTTCCTCTCATTCGAGATGAGGGGTTGAAAACCCAGTGGCTCCCCAGTCACCTAGGAAGGTGGATCAAGACCTATAATCGCCTTCAAAGAGGTTTTCATATCCTGACTTTAGTCTTTGCTCACGCCTAATCAGACTTCCTCGAAGTAGGTTTACTCCTGCCTGCTGACGGCAACTTTTCCAGAAAAGAAAGAGAAAACCAGGGGATTTTATTATGAAATACTTTGTGGAGCTGTTTATAGAGTCCCGTGCACCCCAAATGGCATCTTCTCTACATAAAAATACAGCCATGGAAGGCAGAGTTGGGTGGCTAGAGACCTCCACCATCCAGATCAGGAGATCTGGTCTCCAACCAACCAACAAGACATGAATCCAGACTAGTCTAGTGTTGAGCCAGGACAGGAGAGGGAGGCGAATGGAAAGGGGTTGGTTAGAACATAAGGAAATGGTTGCACAGATGAGATATGTTAATGGAAAGCAAAGCAAACAACAAGTAACCTGTGATACTGAGGGAGAACCTGGGTGGTGGAGCCAGCTGTGCCGGTGACTAAACAGCTGTTTAGTTTGTCTTAGTTGGGTCCACTGCAGTGTCCCAATCTATTCTTAGGGTCGTAAACGTAGAGGATTTGCATTTAGCTCCCATGACAACTGAAGAACTGAATTTATGTGTAAGTTGCAACTCTGTTGCATCTCTCTTGGAATACTTTTCATTGGTTTAAAAATTCCAAAGTTATTTAAAATTTCTCACTTACTAGAGGTTAAAGTTAATTAAGCTTTGGGTCTTTCTTTAAGCAGCTTAGAGTGTCGGCTCATTCTCTTCTGGAGGAAGATGTTCTCTGCTCACAGGCTTGGTTGAGGGGGGCGGAGAAAGGCAAAAGAAAGAATGAAGAAAATGATTTTCAAAATCCAACAGGAGAGGAACCTCTTTATGGCTTAACTGGAATGGAAATGGTTGTTCTTTCATAACAATGGTGGGGTGAGTGGGGCTAATATAAAACTTCCTCTCCGGTGACTTTGGAACCACTCCGAGGCTCGGGAATGACAAACTGAAAGTGGCTAGTTTGATTTTGCTGTTCAACTTGTGTGAAATGCCAAAGGTCAACCAGGGTCACAAACTGAGTGTCTATGATACAAGTGTTAAAGGACAGGAGAATGTGTTCCTTTAAACTTACATATTGCCAGGATTAAACGTGACTGACCTAGTGGGCAGCAAATGATGGGAAATCCACGGTGGCAGTTCAGGACAGAGGACCCTGTGGGTAATTTCAACCAACTGTTGGCACCATGACAGAGCACTGATGTTTGTCAGCATATTAACTTGGAATCTTAAAATTCACTCCCCTAGATACCTCCTCTCTATTCTCTTCTGTTCCCAACAAAAAATCCATGTCTCTAAGGAAATAAGGTTGTGTTCTGAAGTGATAATACAATTTCCCGCCAGTACCAATTTCCTGTAAAGAAAGTTAACTTAGAGGCAAACCAGATATTCTAGTTCCCATTAGAAAATTTAATTGTCTCTCAGTGTCTCTTTTTATAATCTACCATGCCAGGTGTTTGATGTCTTCGGGAAGGGAAGGGGAGGAGGGAGGGAGGAAATTAAAAATATTCATGTGAAATTTCCACATCCGACTTTTAGAAAACATCTACGGCAATGGAATGACTACATACTCGTTCTGAGTCTTCTTATCATGTTTTCCTTGGGCTGTGGAAATGAATAATAGAGATGGCATATCTGTCCACGCTAAACCCATGACTAGAGTACAACTTGGATGAGAAATGTACAGTTGAAATTGACCATTTAAAAGACGATTTGTCACACACAGTTTGCATCCATGCAGACTGATAGATTTATAATTACATTATGTACAAAAATGTTTTAGTTTATTAAGGCAACCACAATTTGGATATTTTGTCCAAGGTGGCTTGACACAATTGGAGGGGTGATACCCTTGGAGCATTTTCTTTTTCTTTTTCTTTTTTTCAGATAAGAACACTTACTCCCATTTGCTTTTAAGAAATAATTATTAAGAGATAATGAAATTCTTCTATTGTCTTTTTGTTTCCTTTTTTCCCATGACCTATGATAGTTATTTGTATGAAAAAAAAAAAAAATCACATACCAAGGCATTGCTAAACACTTAGTCTTTCTGGTGTCTGGGGTTTCAGTTTTTGGTGATTTGTTGGTTATTACATTTGTTTTGGGGTATTAAAACCCTCTTATTCTGCCTATTTTCTGATGATATGTTTTAAATATAAAAATAACCTGGTTGACACCTGGGTCAACATATCCTCAGGTGCTCTAAATCACTTATTTAAAAGGCTCTATCAATACTGAGTATGATTGGGATTCAAAGCCAAGTTCCTTGGGACAGCATGCCAAGGGTGAACGTCACAACACAGGTAAGGTTTACATTATTTCGGTGTGTACCAAGGAAAAGAAGGCAGCCAAGTACGTTAATGAAAAGGTATATGGAAGTACCTAATGGGCAAGGGGAAAGGAGGAACAGACAATGCTAAATATCAGGGTATGTGTGATAGAGGAGGCATACAGAAGAATATGAATGCAAGTCTAAGGTTGCCTATCACTAGAATTCCACCTTCTGATGACATGAGTCCATCTGAGAAACTGTATCGTTAACGGAAAGATTCAGGTCACCTGAAGACAATGTTGGTACCCAAAGCCTAGCCGAGCTTGAAAAACCAAAAGAAACAAAAGCCAATTAAATGGAAGTGGGTTATAACAAAGCCAGTTGAGAAATCTGCAGCTTTTCTGCTCTTGGAATGTTTCCTAATTGAGGGTGTTTCCCTTTCCATTTTCCTGGCCAGCAAACGTAAGGGCATCAAGGGCGCACCTTGGCTGCAGGTCAGGTGGCCGAGAGCACAGCCCGCGGCCTCCTCCTCGGTGGGTCTTCTGCTCGCTCGCCTGCCCAGGATCTAGCCATGCGAAGTGCCGCTGGGCTGGGAACTGCAGTAAAGCACAAACTTCTTTGGAAGGCATCCCCCCTGCTTTGCTTTACCAAGAGCTACCGATGGCTCAGCCCGGTCATCTGGCCCGATTCTGCCCGCCCAGCTTCTGGAGAGAAGGGCAGGGGTGTCCCTGCAGCGGGGGACTTCCAATGCGCCAGTTCCCCCAGCCCCAGGTCCGGATGCCCAGGCCCACCCTAGGGAAGGACATCACTCTCACTCCCTCGGGATTTCCGCTGCCTTTTGGCCTTGACCTCCTCTTCCTGGGGAAGGGGCTGCTGTGGGGGTGGCTGCGGGGGCTGGGCCGCAGGCTGCTGTTTGTGTTTCCTCTTCCCGCCTCCTCTGGGGGCCTTGGGCAGGGGCGGGGGTGGCTGCGGGGGCGGGGGCGGCGGCGGCGGCAGGGGCGGGGGCGGCGGGGGCAGGGGCGGCGCCTCGCGGGCCATGTGGATGACCGCCTCGATGGTGGCCATGATGGTGTCTTGGCTGGCGGCGGGCTCCAGCACCAGGGGGCTCAGACTGGGCTTCTGCCCCCTCTTGCTGGGCAGGTCGATGCATTTTTCCAGCACCGGCATTTGGTCTCTGGAGTCCTCATCGAACTGGGTGGGCTGCTTTCGGGGACGCCCTCTCCTCTTCTTGACGAAGTTGTTGCCTGTCTTTGATTGTCTCTGCAGCCGCTTGGCCTTCAGGATCTTGTTCACGTGGTCCAGGTTCTTCTTGGTAGACAGAATCTTGGTGTAGCTGCACATCTTCCGCACCTCGCACTGGATGGCTTCGATCTCCCGCCTCTTGAAGCGTTTCTTCAGGGAGGAGCTGGCTGCAGGGGGAAGAGAGAAGAAACTGATCACAGGATGCCGCGGTCTTAAACTCGGCCTTTTCAGTGACACCTGGCATTGCATTTGGCGGTGGAGACTGGGAAGCATTCATGCTATGGCTATGACAGTATCAATATTTCTTCTGCCCTTTTTCTAAAATTAAAAATAATAAAAATAAGTGTTGATTAAATATCTCATGTCCAACAACCATGTCTATTTATATGATTTCAATATTCACAACAATCCAGGAAATAGTCTAGTTCCCATTTTTAAGATCTGGGAACAGCCACTAGGGAGATCCACTAGGGCGTCAATGTCAGAGGTACAATATAAATTTTCCTACTTCAGCTTTTATTTTTTATGAGCCTTTGACATTTAATCTGATTCAATTTAGCATTAGGTCATACTTTCTCTTTTTGTAGAAAATGTTGAATGAAGAGAATGACAAGCAGCCCTCCATATCTTGATATGTACTTGAAAGTACGGATCATTCACATGTACCGTCTGTCTGTCAACCTCCAAAAAGAGGTTGACCTGAACTGGAATATGTAACTGAACCTGTTTTACTCCTAACCTCCCTCCACGGACAGAGGAATGATTATTTTCTGGGATACTCTATTTGGGGTGATACCCTACCATCTCTCTGATTCTCTTCCCCTCTTCCCCAAATTTGTGGACTTGTCAAGTCGCCTGGTGATGTCCACTTGACCAGGCCCTTCTTCCCTAGTTCATCCTCTGGGGCCCTGAAGGGAAGTCTCAGCCAGGTGTTTCTGCGTCGTTTACACTCCCGCTACCAGGCTATTGCCTGCAAAGAGCTCTTTTCATGTCCTGGTGGCCAGATGCTTCTCTAGTTTATGAGCCAAACTTCTAGTCTCAGGAAGTCCTGAACTAGCACCTCTAAATAGCCTTCAGAACTGCTTCATTTTGAAGTTCAGACACAATAAAGTGTGAATAGCTTCAAGACGTGAGCCGAGTTTCCTCCTTTTGGTTGTTCCTTCTCTCGTGTTGTTCACAAGACACACATGTGCCTTTGTGTGTGTACACACACACACACACACACGCACACACACACAGAAGCACTCACACATACCCCAGTCCACGCTGGCCACTCCCTCTGGCCATTTATAAACGTAAGACGCGTGTCTTCACTTAGTTCTTTGCTGCTATAGTTTACCACATGCTCAACCCCAAAGAAGCCCAGATGTAGGGTAGAAGATGTTGACCTTACTAAACGCCGCAGGCCTAAAAGGAAATGTTTCATTTTAGCATCACGGTTTATCGTGTTATCCCCAATTTTTTCAACGACTAGTGGGGAAGTGGAATAAATATCTTAAGAGAAATGAGAAAAAAAATGCTGAAACATGGATACCACTCTCACTTATTCCTGGGCATTCCCACTTCATTCTTTCCCCTGCTTTACCCCATTTCTCTCGCATGCAGTGCCCAACACAGATCTCCAGGAGCCTTTCATTTGAAGTTATTTACACCACTAGCTTTGTGGAGTGGGAGGCTCTGAGTTCCACAGAACAGGTCACAACGTTAATGCTTTTAGCCAAAGGTCATTGCGAGACTTACTGAGCAACCAAAAACTACTGAACAATCTTTAAAATAAGTTATAAAGATCAAAATAGAATAAAGCCAGAGTGAGCTTCTGACTAAAAAATAAACATTTTTTTTGCAGTTAGTGTTGTAAAAGGGACAGGTTGCTTGACTGTAAATTCTCAGATGCAGGGACCGACTTCTATTGGTCTTTATGTCCCTTATGGGGCATCACATGGTTTCATGCATGGAAAGGATGTAAAAATTGTTTCTGGACTGACGAATCGCACTAATCACTGCTGCCTTAGAGCCACATTCTTCTCTAAAAGAGTTCTAGTTTGGCTTTTCAAAACAACCACTGCAAACTCAGTGACAGTAAGTTAGCGGGCCTCCACGCCAGAGCCAAGCAATTTACCTTGTCCACACAGTTCCTAAGTAAATGAAAACTAGTCAGAAATACTCCACAAGGCTTCTGGCTTTATTCCAAATACAGATGCCATTTTAACTTTACCCTCTTTTTAGTTTCAATCACCCACAGAGGAGGAAATGCTATGTGATATAGAATACAGCATGCACGTTCAAAGCAACTCATTTTGGGCAATTAGTTGGCAACATTTGACTGGATACAGCTGGACCGCAAAAATCCATGAGCGGGAGATCATTTGGGGCAATGATAACCATTGGATTCTGTCAAGTGTCTTCTTTTTAGCATGAAATGCCAAAAACAAACAAACAAAAGGAACCTCGCAGATAATACTAGATTCAATAATTTGTTATCACGGCATATTTTTTAAACCCTTGCACTGCAGAATGATTATGGAATAAAAATTTATTCCGAGTAGTGTAAACCTACCAAACAGTACTAAAAATATCCTAACCAACTCCTTTGCACCCACCATTCGCATTTAATAAATGTTAACTTTGCACCATCTATGCTTTTTCTTTTCTTTCTTTTTTTTTTTTTTACAGATTCAGCTAAGTCAGGGCTGCTCTTCTCGGTTCCATTCTCTTCCTTCCCGTGCCTGTATCCACACTTATATTGCATGAACCCCATTGGTAAAAGTTGAAATCTGCAACTTCTGAATGGCGCTGATGCGAGAGAGTGGGAACACTACGTGGGTGGTGGGAACACTGTACATGGGTGGTGGGAGTGTCAGCTGCCAGAATGTTTTGCAGCGTGACTGGGCAACAGCTACCAGAGTTGAAGGTGGGCATGCTCCATGCCTCAGGGAGTCCATGTCCAGGGTGCCGCCTCTACTCATTGTAACAGGAGGCCAAGGACGTACAAGGATGGTCCTTGAAGCTCTAAAGATTGTAAACAATCTCACTGTGAATTAAAAGGATAACTGACCAATTGTGATACAAACAATGGAATGTGACACCTCTGTTAAAAGGAATAAGGTACAAATAAATATATCGTCAAGGTTAAATCTAAACAAAAAGGTTGAATAAAAAACAAACAAACAAACCAAAAGTATTTGTAAGTATGCCATTTATATAGATTAAAAAACACAGAGGTTCCTTCCATTTTTATTTCATTTCCAGTGTCCAGATGTGGAGGTTAAAGTGACGGAGCCCAGCTGTGGGTCAAACACTGGGTGGATGAGATTTCAGTATCTCTTTTCTCTGCAGCTGCCTCGTGGGATTTTATTACATCTCTAGGGTAGTGTCGTCCAGTAGGATTTTCTTTACTGGTGGAAATTTTCTACATCTGTATTATCCCACATGGTAGCCACTAGTCACATGTAGCTACTGAGCACCTGAAATGTGGCCAGTGTGACTGGGAAACTGAGTTTTCCATTTAATTTTAATGTAAATAGCTACCTGTGGCTAGTATCCACCATGTCGGGCAGCTCAGCTCTAGACCTAAGCATTGCGAATCAGGGAACCCAATGAGATTCATTTAGTAAAACACAGAGAGACGGTGGGAATCTCCAGGCAAATCATGCAGTGACTTCAACAAATAAGACGCAAGGAGAGACAGGTCGGGGAGAGGGGTAGCGGTGTAAATTAAGGGAGACTTAAGAGATAAAAGGACCACTTTGGATACCAATTTAAACAAACTGTCGAAAGAGATCATAGTTCATGAATGCATCGAGATTTGTGTACCATGTGAGCATTCTACGGTATTATACAATTATTGTTAATTTTCTTAGCTGTCATAATTGCATTGGGGCCATGCTTTTTTAAAGCACCTACCTTTTTTGAAGTACATACTAAAATATTTATAGATGAAAACATAAAATATAATCTGGACTGGCTTCAAAATAATGGGGAAGGGAGGAGGTAAGAGGAAGTATCGATGAAATAAGACTGACTGTTACCCTGTGTGTGAACAGAAGCAGAGAGCAGAGTACCAGGAAGGACTTCATTCAGGTGTAGCTGGAAAGCAAATTGGACCAGGGCAAACCTCTCAGCCTCTCTGGATCTCTTTTTCTTCATCTATTACACTGGATGGTTAGACTACATGCTCTCCAAGTTCTCCTCTCGATGCAAAGATGGCTATAATTCTTTCCTATCCTCCTTATAGACTGCCTTGCCAAGTGTGAGGTAGCTATCTATAACTTTTATTTCATCTAATAATTTTGAAATCCTACTTAGGGGGAGGACTTTGGATCTGGTAGGGTTTGATGTTCACAAATCTTTCTCCTTATTGCTTATGATCGTACTGTCCCTCTAAATGTTTTCAGATTTTTCTCCCTTCAAATTGTTTCATTATTAGACAGTAATTTCTGGGCTCCTGCAGCAAGATTGATTCCATATTTGCTGTCCTTCCTCTAATTGTCCTATATCTTGCCTGTTCTTTGTCAGTTTTAAAAAAATAATTATGAGCAGCCAAGGCAAAATGCAAATTCATTTAACTGCAATGCAAATCATTCTGGACCCTTTCCTGGACTTAAAATTGGTTTTGGTCTAGATCTAGATTTTCTTTTTCTTCGCTCCCGTTATCAGAGGACTGGGCCATCAGCTCTCATTTCTTCCGCCATGTGTTTTATGACACCCAAAGACTGCATGTGGCCGTTCTTCGCACACTGACTACAGATGTAGCACATGTACAGCAAGATCAGGGCTCACAAGGCTCAGTTTCGCAGAAGGTGTCTAAAAAATAGGTGCTAATAGTTTGGAGACTGTCCCTTGCGTGTGTGTAAGTCACATTCTAGCTTTACAAAGAATCTGTGGGTGGGCCAGAGAGGGAGGCACATTAGACTCATCATAAGTTTTCTTACTGTTCGACGATCCCTAGGGGAGGTGGAATCATTCTGGGGCTGTTGAGCTGTCTTGAGTTGAGGTGCCGTCCAGGATGACCAGGATGGAATACCACCTGCCTCAGTCAAGGCCGAGAGTGAGGCATGAACCGCACTGTATGCTGATCCAGGCTGGAAGATTCTTGAAGGCAAAGGCCCTGTCTTTTCTCCCCGGCACAGGGCATTCATGCAGCCATACCTGAACTGGTAGGTGGTAC